CTGACCGATTCACCCGATTCCCGATCCGGATCGCCGATTCGTCGATCCGGATCGGTTTTTTGGAAGCCCGATCCGGGTCACCAATCCGTTTTTTAAACCATTGCTTCTGGGCATAACCCTGAGCAACTAATTGAGCCTTGTGTCGATCAAGGATACCATCAGCTCATAACTTGACTTTATAAACCTATTTACTACCAATGACATACTTTTCTAGGGGCAATGAGACCAAATCCCAAGTGTGATTTGCCTTTAAAGGTGCAATTTCCTCATTCATGACTATATGCTAGCATTGAAGGTTAGATGGATAGTGCGGTCTCTCTCTCTATCTCTTTGAAGAAAGCCAAAAACACAACGTAGAAGGGAAACACCTAGAGGAAAGCAAAGGCAACCCAAAACCAGTGAGAAATGGGTACCGTCACCACCGCTGAAACACATGACAACGATCGAAAGCCCCTCTAGCACATAGAACTAGGTTTTCTGCCCTTTCTTTGTCAAGATCTAGTGAGACAAGGGTTCTAGTTCACTCCCACTATGACCAAGAACCAATATGGAATGCCAGAATTATAACTTGAAAGGCCATAACTCCAATAAAGAATACTCTTTGTACTAGATTTTTGAGATGCACCTCACTTTTGCAAGGTTGCAACCAGTGTTCGTAAAATCGAACCGGAACGGTTAACCGGAGATGGGGCTGGGAGCGGTTCGAACCGGAACCGGACTAATCGGGGCGGTTAATCGAACTAACAGGTCAAGTAGATTTTGTTAAGTCAAAAAACCTCCCAAAAAAAATATTTTAAAAAAAATAAAAAAACATAGATTAAATGTATACTATCATATTACATACATTTATATTAAAATAATAATAATTGAAACAACTTTTTATATAAATTAATATTTGAATACTATGGAGATATGCAAGACAATTTATAATTTGACATAAATTCAATTGATGAAGTTACAAAGTCCAACTCAGTATTCGCAAAACCAGCCAGTCTGAATCGGAACCGACCGGTTAGATTGCTTCGGGTGGCGTGGTGAGTCCGGTTAGGGCCAGTTTTACCACACATCTCACAAGACGGCACTCTCTAAAAAAAATCAACTACAAAACAGGTGGTTCAAGGTCGAACCGGCCGTGTTTTTGCAAAACCGACCAGTGTTCAATTAACCAGACCGGCCTTTTTTTTAGAAAATAACGATACCATATAAATTTGGAGTTATTTTGAAATAGAGACCATTATATGTAGCATGAAACTTGTGAATCCAATTTTGCACTTTTTTTAATTTGGTTTGCGGTCAATTTTTGGTTTTTTTCGTGTTTTAATGGTTTAAATCACTATATAATTGATATAAAACAAGTAATTTAGATTTCAACATTGAAAACAAAGGAGTTTCTTGGATTGAAATGGCAGATTTTTTAGGTTTTTGAAAATTTCCGCCATTCTTTCAATAATCTCCTCAACACCTAATGGTTATTGATGAAATTTGAGGGGTTTGATTTCTATTCGAACCATATACTAGATTCAAGTTTTAATTTGTTCAGAATACTAAAAATCAAGGGTTTATTTTTGCTCGAAAAGCTGTTGCTCTGAGAACTTATGTTCGACCCAAAAACGTAGATTTTTTGTACATTTATTAGTTGTTTTTTTATCAGAGTCAGCTGTGTATTTCGATCATTGAGGCTTCGTATGTCAAATAAAATTAGTATGCTTATTTATGATTGACTAAATTGTTTTTTATGAATTTTTCATTGCACCATATCTTGAAATTTTTATAGATCTCTACCTTTTCTTCAATTAAATTAAAAATACCAAATATTTTTTGATGATATTTGGTGCGTTTGAAAGATGATCGAAGCCTTTACAATGCATGTATGTTTATTTGTTCAATTATCCAAACATTAAGGATAGTTTCTTGCTCGAAATGTTGCTTCACTTTTGGGGTTTTTGAAAAGTCGATTTTTTAAAAAAAAGATATTTTGTTTAAGAAAATTATCTTTTTTGATGAAATTGGGAAGTGTTTTTCTATTTTGTTTAATAAAATTATTTTTAATAGAATTATGATATTTTAATAAAATTGCATTTTTTGATGAATATGAGAAATGTTTTTCTAATTTTCGTAATAAAATTATTTTTTGATCAAATTATTTGTTCTACTGTTCTTATTTTTTGATAAAATTAATGCACAACACTCTGATATGGATACGGTAGATACATATAATAACATATAAGAACAGTAGAACATATCAGTGTGTTGTGCATTGATTTTTTCGTTTTGTTGCATATATGATGAACTTTTTGTGAAGTATGCCTAATTTTACTTCATCGAAAAATATTGTATGAATTATGCTTTATCTAACTATAGGGAAGAGGTCCATTCTATTTCTTGTCATAATTAGTAGGCATTTTTATTTGATTTAATAGCATCAAGCTACTTTTGTTATTTGTAAAAAAAGTGCATAAGCTTTCATTACTAATGTGAGCAATTTTTGTAATAAAAAAAAAAAAACCCAGAAAGTTTTTCACGTAAGGTTTGGGATAAATATGTTAATTCTTGGAAGAATATGTTACATGCCAAAAATATCTTCACAAAATATCCTAAGTTATTTTCATGTAAAGGACCACAGTATTCAAATATTAATTTATAAAAAGTTGTTTCAATTTTTTCTTTTTTTGTAAGATAAATATATGTAATAAGATATTATACACTTAATATAAGTATTTATATTTTTTTAAAAAAAAATTAGGAGTTTTTTACCCTTTTTTTTAAAAAAATCTACTTGACCGGTTAGTCCGGTTAACTGCCCCAATTAGTCCGGTTCCAGTTCAAACCGCTCCCAGCCTCATGTCCGGTTAACCGTTCCTGTTCGATTTTGCGAACACTGGTCCAACTAACAATGGCTAACAGTAATGAGAATGGCTATTAGTATGTGATTATAAATCTACTTGATCTGAACCATTTTTGAAACTTAGAATTTTATAATTGGACATGAAAATAGATTTTAAGCTTGTTATAAAATTTGGTGGTGCACCTTATTTTGATGTTTTAAGGTACATAATTGAGGGCTTAAACAATCAAAGTAAAATGCACCTTCAAATAGTATCAAAATTCAAGTGGCGTTGTTTTACTATTGAAAATCTTGATGACATTCTCAAAATCCATTTTTGTCTTTGATTAAATAATTATAAAATGTAGAGCTTCAAAATTAGTATAGATCGGGCATATCTATGAACACTAAAAAGTATTGAAAATTGACCATCTAGAATATACGTTACAAAATGCACTATTTCTAAAATACATTACACTATGCACTATTTCTAAGATTGGAAACCTACTAATATAATATTAAAAATATCGAGAAAAACAAAATCGAACCAAAAGATCAAGCAACATTATCATGAACTTATTTATTTTTTGTTAAAAAAAATTTAACATTAATAATAGAAGAATCGAATTTTTTTTTTTTGTCATATTCATCAAATGTAATTTGATCAAAAAACATAATTTTATTAAGAAAAATAGAAAAACATTTCACATATTCATCATAAAACATAATTTTATTAAGCGAAATATTTTTTTTTAAAAAAAAATCGATATCCCAAATAACCCTAAAATCGAGCTCCAAATGTCTGTTTTTGTTCTCAAATCCATTCTTTTATTGAATTCAATCACTAATTTCAGTCAAATATTGTTTGAAAAATCCTAAAAAAAGGTTGAAAAATTAGGAAACAAATTAAAAACAAATCAGATTGGAGCTTACCTTGGTTTCTTCCTACTAAAATGAAGCTTCAATCTCAAAAGCGAGCTTGAAATCTCTCGATTTCAATGAAATTAGAAGTCTGAAAATCTGGACATCTCTGTGATCATTAAAAGCTCCCTATTTTTATAAAAAACCAGGCCAATATCCTTAGATTTGCGGATTTTTCATCGAAATTTGAAGAACACCGAAATAACGGCCAAGAAATTGCAATTTCAAGCTTGAAATCTAAGGATTTCGTTGAAACCAGGAATGTATTAGTTTGACCATCTCTTTCATCTACAAAAGCCCTCCCTTTGGATCGTGAAAAAATCAACAACAATGCCAAGAAATGTAGATTGACGGATTTTCACGAAACTAGTGAAGAAAAAATAAATAACGCCCAAGAAAACTTAAAATTCGGTAGTTTTTTATTTCAAATCAACTATTTTATAGAGTAACATTAATAATTTGATTCAAATTATTCTCTTTAAAATCCTTAAAAGACCGATAAAGTTCACAAATTAAAATCAATCTTGAACCCAACAAAAACCCATGGGTTCTGTCAAAAATAACGGGCCCTGCATCAAATAACAGAGCTGTTACGTAATATCGTTATATATATTGTTATAACGTTAAAAATGGTTTTATGAACAAACCTGTCGGATTAGGTAAAAAACCGGCTAGTTAGAACGAAAAAGGAGCTGTTCGAGCTGGTTGCGGCCGGTTTTGACCCGGAGGTTTTTTTTTGGGAGAGGTTCGTCCGATAGTGACTACTCTAAAACCGGCGGTAACCGCGAGGGTCCCGCTTCCGACATTTTTCAAACACTGGTTGCAACATTATGCACACTTTGTCCTAGTTTTAAAGCAGATTGCAACGTTTTCTATCGAAGAAATTCCTCGAGGGGACTTTTACACGAGTGAATACTTTTACAGTCCCACGGGAGGAGCACGCTGTACGCACAGGATCTCATCTCTCTCCTCTCTACCAATATTTTATGAATGTGAACTTAGAATTGGTGATAAGGTGGATGCCATCCATGGGTTATTGCATAGAAAGAGAGACACAGAAAATGCCTTGCATAGAAAGACACGAAGAAAATGCAATGAAAGACGGCAATGGCATTGGCATTGGCATTGGCATTGACGTGAGAGTGTAATAAACCCTATCGCACACGTCTCTTTGAAGAAGAAGCCCAAAATCACAAGGTAGGAGGAGGAGGAAAGCAAGACCAGTGAGAAATGGGTACCGCTACCGCCGCTGAAACACAAGACTACGATCGAATGGCGGAGCTCCGAGCCTTCGATGAATTGAAGCTCGGCGTAAAAGGCCTCATGGACTCCAATTCATCTTCCATCCCCCGCTTCTTCGTCCACCCTCCTGAATCCCGTGTCATTCCGGCAGTCGGTCCTCGCCCCTCGGCCCTGATCCCCACTGTTGATCTCTCTGCCCCTCATGCTATGGCCGCCGCCCAAATCCGCCAAGCCGCATCGTCCTGGGGCTTTTTCAACCTCGTCAACCACGGAATCGATCCTACCCTTCTTCAATCTACCATTGATTCCGTGAAAACCTTTAATGAGCAACCGCATGCCCAAAAGGCCCCTTACTACACCCGAGACCCAGCAAATGGGGTGGCCTTTGCGACCAATTTCGACCTGTACCAGAGCAAGGCAGCCAGCTGGCGCGACACACTACAGGTGCGCATGAGTCCGGTGCCTGCGGACCCTGGCTTCCTGCCTGAGCCCTGCCGCGCGCCTCTTCTTGAGTGGGGAGAACAGGCCACCTCGGTCGCGGAGCGCTTGATGGGGTTCTTATCAGAGAGTTTAGGGTTAGGGTTGGAGTTTTTCAAGGGGATGAGCGGGTTGGAGGGGAGGCAACTGGTGGCTCATTACTATCCGTGTTGTCCTGAGCCGGAGTTGACCGTGGGTTTGGCTGGGCACTCGGACCCTGGGCTGTTGACGGTGCTGCTGCAGGACCAGGTGGGCGGCCTACAGGTGCTCAACGAAGAGGAGTGGATCGACGTGCGGCCCGTGCCTGGTGCTCTCGTGGTCAATGTTGGGGACCTGCTACAGGTTCGTAAATTTCGGAATTTTTTTTTTTTGGACGCAGTTTCCACTCAAATTTCGTGGTAGATCTATGAGACTAAACCAAATAAATCCACTGTTTATCATTTAAAAAGATTATGCTGTCCTGATCTTGAAAAGAGGAATTCATGCGAACATCACCCGAATTTATACTATTCCAACCACCAAACTTCAGTTTTTATGCTTCTTATACCTGTTTTCTTATACGAAATTGCCTTACTTCAATCTCGAAGGTCCCAAGTTTACTCTGTATTTGTTCATAAATTTATTTGAGACGTTCACCGTTCGAAGTGGTTTCGAAGATTAAAAATCAACTTTGGTTTTGTTTATCCAACATTTTGTATACAACATTTTTAGCCATAATATTGTATCGAGAGAGAAGATGCTTATGCTTAGGACTTTCATGGGCCTCAGTAGAATATGAGCAAAAATCCGAGATATTAAACTTTAGACCTTCAAAGCATGGGCGATTTGAAAAAAGTAAAAACATTTAAGAAAATAGATGTAAACAGCAACTAAGGCGGCTTTTATGTAATTTCTCTAGTAGTATTCCACATTTGTTGCTTTGACTATATGGATCAGGAAATGGAAACGTATATAACTAAGCTATTGACTTTTGATTCAAAGTTGTCGTAATCATTACCGACTATTCCATGTGAAATTAAGTGCTTGGAGATGTGTTGTTTATTGGACATAAAGTAAACACAAATTTTCTTGAATGTCATAACTATATTCAATATGTTGGATTCCACGTTTAATGGCTAATGATGATTGACTTCATAATCTTGTTTCTTAAGCACATATGTATTTGTATTTTGGGGCCCTCAAACTCTAACCACCAAGCAATCTTTTACCTTTATGAAATAAGAAGGTATAGTATGACACACAATTGAGGTGTTTATTTTAATGCGTTTGGAATTCAAATGGGATTTATTCATAAATAATGGTAAACTTTCTTTTGTAACGAATGAACAGGGAAGAGACTTTTCATTTCTCAAATAAGAGGGGGCAAGGAAAGCGGGACTTATTCGTACTAAGCTTGTGAATGAGTTATTGTTTCCAAATAAGTATGAACTTATAAAACTTCACTAATGTTGGATCTATGATCATGAATAACTGGCAAAACATGCCTAACAATATTGGGGCCTTAGCCGTTGTATTGCCCAGTGATGAGGTCCCGCACTTCATTCTCATCAAAAGGGTAGGGCCCAAATCCCACTTACCACTTTATACTTATCCAAAAAATAAATATATCATATACACCACATCTTTATGTCAATAAACCTTATTACAATAAGGAAAACCATCTATTATCTATATGTCCCTACCCATGTGCGTACCCTGGCGCTCCCCACCTTTGGGTTTAATTGGATGGTTGAGTAGACTCTTGCAACGCGGTCCCAAAACCATGGGCACTCTGTGTAGTCACTGTCTGGTCCGCTAGCAGGTCTCCGTTTAAAAAAAAACATCATTTTACAGAAAATCTACTATTTTTTGAAATTCATCAAGGACTCTGAGATTTTTAAAAGACCTTCAAAATATCTTCTATTTTTAATGGAATTAATATAAATCCGTATTTTATCGTTTTTCAAAAAAAAACTTTTCAAAAAAACTTATTCCCTATAATTTTATTTCTCTATTAAACTAGTATTATTGAGTTTTGGTTTAAAAATAAGTACATTGGGAGTAAATTAAGAATCTTTGATTTAATAAAAAATTCCAATAAAAATTCACCAATGAGCGACGTTGAAAAAGGTGTACGAAAAATACAAGCAATACATTCCCTAAAAAAAGTAATCAAAATAATTGTATATCTCAAAATAATAGGTAGAGATAGAAGAATAGTAGTCCAAGCAAGAGAGAGATTCAATGGTATTAAAGATTTAGGTATTTAGGAATTCGGTGTGATTCAAATTTGCTTATGTATTTTATTGTTTTTTTATGTGTAGAGAAGTTTGATTAATTTCGTGTTTTAATTATTATTATTTACTTCATTGGTGTATACAATATAGCATTTTAGATGGACCACTATTATATATATATATATATAGGTGTTATGGGCGTTTTTTTGTTTTTTTCTTTGAAAAATAATCTTATACGTTGGTTCTCTGTTCTTGTTATTTTCTAATTAGTTTGTGTGTTATTGTAAGTGTTGTTGGTTCATTTTATGCTCCCAATAAACCATCGATATGTTTTGTGCAATGACAACATAATAAGCATTGTTGCAAGGTTTATTGAAAGTTTCAACAAAAATTGTGAGAGCATTACTCTAATGATACTAGTTAGGCTATACAATTATTTTTTAATGGCTTTAGCATATCTACACAATGGCAACAAATTATAATCCTATATAGTGTCATCTTTACATATTTGATTTTTTTACTATGCTTTTTTTAACCAAATCCGAAATATTCACGATTCTTTAACTTACCTTATTTTTAGCGATTTGCATTTTTTACCCGATTTTTTCCTACAACTTTTTGAAATAAAACGTATTTATTACTGATATTTTGGTTTGCCAATATTTTATTATTCTTCGACTTGCTAACTAGGCTGGCGAGTAGCCCATATGGAAAAAGACCCAAAAGTTCTAGATCAAGACGCTTGGTGGTTGTGACATAGAACTATTTATAATTAGTAAAAAGGTGACACGGACTAATTGCTAGCATATGTGAAATCTAACAGCTTTGAGTGTACTACTGATTTAAAAAATTATTTAACAGCTTTGAGTGTATTAGTAATTTCAAAAACATTTATTTTGGACCTTGAGCCTGATGACATGCGACACCCCTAGCCACTCCATCTCACATCCCAAAAGTTAATTGTTCTTAATTCCATATATAATTGCCTATATTACCCCCATAAATGGCCCTATTATATATTTTTCCTTACAATATACATGTTGTCTCGTTTATAATTTATACTGTATTTGCCAAACCATTCGCTTTCTTCTTTTTTTTTCGTTCTTTTTGAGTTCTATAAGTCTCTAATCCAACAACCTTGAGTCAATACCTTTTAGTGTACTATTAAGTTCAAAAATTTTATTTTGGATCTCGAGCCTGATGACATTTGACACCCCCCCAGCCACTCAATCTCACATCCAATGTTAATTGCTCTTAATTCCATATATAACTGCCTATATTCTCCCTATAAATGATCCTATTGTATATTTCCCTTACAGTATACATGTTATCTTGTTTATAATTTATATTGTATTTGCCATACCAATCTCTCTCTTATTTCTTTCTTTTTGAGTTACTATAACTCTCTCTCTCCATCCACCAGATTCAATTGAGGAAGAATCTGATATGTATGATATGTATTATTTCCTCCTCTCTCCACCAGATTCAATTGAGCAAGAGTTGGACATGTATATTTCTTTCTCCACCAGATTCAACTGAGCAAGAGTTGGATATGTATCTTTTAAACTTGACTCATATGAATGAATGCAGATTGTTTCTAATGGGGTGTACAAAAGCGTGGAGCACCGTGTCCTGGCAAACCCATCAAAGGACCCAAGAATCTCAGTGGCCATTTTCTACTCGCCTGGGAAGAGGGATGATTCCACATTTTACGGTCCCATAGAGGAGCTGCTCTCACCCCAAAATCCACCAAAATACAGAAACTTCACTATGACAGAATATCTCGGAACCTTCTTCAACAAGGGGCTCAAGCGAAACTCTTTGCTCGATCATTTTAAGCTCTGAATTGATAAATTCCTGTTTGTTTCCTTCCTCAGTTGCCATCAGATACATACATGGATTTTATACCTTACATCATAAATCTATAAATCTTTATAGACATCATTGGAATTTGTGGTGTCTAAAGTGGAAAAGTTTTTGGTGAGTCTGCCAAGTGGTATTCAGCTCTAGTTTTCAGGGGTGTTAGGACACAGTAAATCAAAACCGGGGGCCTGCAAGGCTTTTTGGCCAGGTCTAGTTTCAGGCCGAGATCGGGCCACATTTTAAGAGCCATGTGCCAGGTCCAGTAGGCCTACTGCATTTTCTTTTTGGACCCGGTCTAGACCAAGTTTTTTGAAAATAAGTTCACAGTTTTTTGAAAATATTCGCAGATTTACATAAGGCCGGCCCTACTAAGCCGAATTTTTTTGGGTTTGGGTCTCCTTGCAACAATTGCGGGCCATCTCCAAATTTAATTTTTAAGCCTCAGGCTTTGAATGCTTTGTAATGTTTCACGCTGTGGCCGGCCCGCCCGACCTGTTAACAACCCTGATCCTACCCATCTAAAGTTGTTGATTAGGCCTTTCAAATCTTTAGGCCGCGTTTGGATAAAGAATTAAGCATTCTACTTTCTGATAAATGTTTGGGTACATCTGCCGTCCTGCCATTGATAACTTGAGGAGAATGGGATTTATCACAGTGAATATCTGTTCTGTGTAAATCGAACCAGGAGTCAAGAGTGTCAGACAATTATCGATTATAGGAATGCCCATTTGCCTATCAATGGGCATTGCAACAAATAGGCCTCCATTGCACATACCCACTCTCTATATCACAGCTAATTACTCATTAATCACGTCCAATGCTAGGGAAATACAAATCACCATTTGCTTTCGACCACCCTTTGAAATCTGTTGGGGGGGGGGGGGGGGCTTAAGACAACAAAAAGTATTTATAGGAGCAGTTCGCGATCACAACGAGCTGCAAGCAACCATTTTAGCCACTGTTGGATTCGGCCTCTATTCAGAAAGTTTGTGCTACTTGTATCTTCCTTGTTCTTACCACCTTTTTTTCTCTTATGTTCCTCATATTTCCTCCTCTTGCCTTTCTTATTTTTCTTGTATCTTCTGTTCTTGTCGTCTATCCCTTGCATTTCTTTTCATTTTCTCAATGAAAACTTGGTTAATATTGGGGAGAAAAAAAAAAGATTTGTGGTATGAGAAACCATGTTACTTTAATGATATTGTAGCACCTAGCTTGATCACACTTAGAAGAGTGGCTAGATGGTTACCTCCTCCATCGGGATATAAAACTTAAATTTGACAATGAAAGTTGGACTATGTAATTCATGCAAGTGTATATCGATTGAAAATTTTCTCTTCTTTTCCTTATTTTAACCACTTGGATAACTTACAGAAGTCCAATACATTATGAAAAATATTAAAAACACTAAGAATTCCACTTACTGCCACTTTAACAACTCTTTTTTTACTACAAATAAAAATGCATAAACTTGATCTTGGATCATGAAGCACATAATAATCATAGGAATAAGATATCACTAGAAAGGATAAAAATAAGATGTTGAAATTACCTCAACTGAGTTTAGTACGTCTCACACCGAGTCTTCTCCTCTAATGGTGCTTGAGATCAATCTGCTCGGGATCAATGATTAATTTCGAATCTAATAAGTATGGAAAAACCCTCTAAAAGGCATATGGAACTATCTTGAACCAAATTGCTGAGGCTTCAATGCCTTAGCCTAACTTCAGCCCCTACCGCTTTGCATAACCTAGAGAGATGAGAGAGAGAGAGAGAGAGAGAGTTCTACTAGGTGGGGCATGTCCCTTTCCATCTGCTATGAGAGAGAGAGAGAGCTTCCATAATGTGGGGCGTGCCCCCTAGAGATAGAAAGAGAAAGTAGAAAGAGCCTTTTTAGAAAGAGAGAAAAGAAAATGCGAGGTGGTGTAGATAAATATTTTAGGGGGAGAGGCCCTTTAGATTTGAGACTGTCTGGCTTGAATTCTCAGAAGTCTCTGACTTGATCAAGAGAACATGGTTAACTACTATTGTGGTTGGGTCGAAGGACTTCCAAGTCCATAAAAAATTGTTAAAAATCAAACACAAATTATTGGATTGGAAGAAAAATAATAGATTTGACCTTAAGACCAAGACTAATGGGGTTCTAGTTGAGATTGAATTGATAGATCTCAATTCTCAGACTAGTGGTGTGTTAACAGAGCAACAGGTTTTTGAACGTAGAGAGAAACTAAAAGAGTTAGAAGAGCTGAGAAAAGTTGAAGAACTTTTCTGGAAACAGAGGTTCAAGAATAAGTTGCTTAAAGAATGTGATCTAAACACTAAGTTTTTTCATATTATTGCTAGTGCGAGAAACGGCAGAATGATATCCCCGGTCTTACCATTCCTGGTTTAGATCCTCAGAATAATAGTGATATGATTGAGGGTGTTATTGATCACTTCAAAAAAGCTTTTACCAAAGAGGTGGTGGTATCTCCTAGGTTCTCGAATGTTCCCTTTAAGGAGCTTAATGATGAACAGATTCTTTTTTTGGAAAGGGAGATCTCTTTTCAAGAACTACATCATGTTGTCTTTACGTTACTTGGTGATAAGGCACTGGGTCCTGATGGCTTTCCTTTGATCTTCTTCCAAAAATATTGGCAGCTACTTAAGGATGATCTTTTGGGGGTGGTAAGAGAGTTTATGATCACATGAAAAATTTTTAAAGGCATTAACTCGACTCTTCTTGCATTGATACCAAAGAAAGATGTTATCAATGAGCTCTCAGACATTATGCCTATTAGTTTTCTCATGAGTGTCTATAAGATTATTGCCAAAATTCTTGTTGAATGTCTAAAGGTGGTCCTTTCTACCATTATTTCCACCACACATTCAGCTTTTATTCAGGATTGCCAAATTACCGATTGTGTGTTGGTAGCGCAAGAATGCATCCACTCATGAGTTCTTAGCAAGAAAGATGGCATTCTTTTAAAAGTTGATATGGAAAAGGCTTATGATAAGGTAGAATAGGGAATTCTGTTAGGGATTTTAAAAAGGGTGGGGTTTGATGATCGGTGGAGGAGGTGGATCTCTGGTTTCCTATCTTCAGCTTACTTCTCTATCGTTTTCAAATGTAGCCCGATAGGTTTTTTTCATGCTACCGAGGTCTTCGTCAAGAACACCCCCTTTCTCTTTTCTTGTTCACGATCTATGCTGAATGTTTTAGCCTTATGTTAAGCAGGGTGGTGAGGGTAGGGGCTTTTAAGGGCTTCCAAATTGCAAACTCAGATATCTTTGTTTCACACCTTCAGTATGCTGACGACACATTAAATTTTGTTATTTCTGAGCCCTCACAAATCAAAAATATTACGAGATTTGTGGAGATTTGCGAAGTTACTTTAGGCAAGAAGGTTAATTTCCACAAGTCTTCTATGGTAGGAGTCAGTTGCAGTGTTAGTGTTGTGGTTGAGCTGGCTGTGATTATGGACTACAAAGTGGACTCCTTCCCTATTACTTATATGGGGCTTCCGATTTAAGACTCTAAATTCCCAATTGTTGTTTGGGATAAGGAGATTGAGAGAATTTAATGTAAGTTATATCTCTAGAAACACAAATACCTTTCTCTGGGACGAATGGTGACTTTGTTAAGATCGTGCCTTGCGAATTTGCCGGTGTATCAGATGTCCTTAATACAAATGTCTGCTGCAATTGCAAAGAGTATTGAAAAGATTATGAGAGATTTCCTTTGGGGTTCCAGCATTGAGAGTAGAAGGTTCCATTTATTAAGGTGGGATAGAGCTTGTACACTAAAGCGTGAAGGTGGCCTAGGCATACAGGCCTTGCTCTGTAAATGGTGGTAGCATAGCACTCACTTGAAAGATCATCTGTGGACCCAAGTATTGAGGTCATAGTATGGAATGGATAGGCAAAATCTTTGGATAGGGAGTGGTAGAGGGAAGGAGGTGTCTTTTATGTGGAAGGCTATCTTCAACTATAGAAATATGGTCTCTGATTACTTTAGATGGAATGTGGGTGGTGGTAATCAAATCTTGTTCTGGCACCACAAGTGGATTGGAGAGTGTCCGCTCATGGTTACTTTCCCTGACCTCTTGAAGGTAATTTCAAACCCAGATCATAAAATCTGTACAGTAGTCGAGAGTAGAGGTCAGCAATTGGTTTGGGATATACCCCTTATATACAGAAGGCTCAACGATACCTTGTTATCCCAATGGTGTACTTAGATGGAACTTTTGGATAAAGTTTATACTTCTCAGGGGGCAGAAGATATTTTCATATGGGAAATTGAAAGGGACGGTATTTTATCTGTTAAATCATGCTATAACATTTTCTTCCATGATCATTGGAGATGATCGCTTCCCAAAATTGTGCCAATTTGGAAATGGTCAATACTACACAAAGTTCAAATTTTCATTTGGCTAGCCTCGCAAGATAAAGCTTTAAAAATTGATAACCTACAAAAAAGGGGGAAAGTGCTACCTAATATATGTTTGCTCTGCAAACAGGATAGTGAATCAGTTGACCATCTCTTAATCCATTGTCTCTATACTTTACAAATTTGGCACTGGTTGATTGGAGAAGTTGGTTTTTTTGTTGCGCTGCCTCAGAAGGTGATTGGGTTAATTTCACAATTGAGTATCCATTGCCTTCTCAAGGTGGGTGATATGATTTGGAAGATTGCTAAAGGTCTGATCCTATGGGAAGTATGGAAGAAGCGGAATAGGTGGACTTTTGAAGGGGTGGGATTGCCGATAGACAAGCTTACTCACCTTATCAAGTTATCAATCAGGTCTTTACTATCGATGGCTAAGGATGGGTGGGGTATCTCTAAGGTTGATGTCATGGTCAATCTGCAAAATCTTTTTTCTTTAGGTTTTAGTCCTAGGAGACCCAAATATTTATGGTATGCCCCAAGTTTTAGAAGCTTTAAGTTAAATTTTGATGGCAGCTTTATGAGAAAACCAGGACCTGCAGGTATTGGAAGAGTTATTAGAAATTGATCTGGAAATGTTGTGTTTTCTTATGCAGGTCCTATTGGTATTGTCACAGCTAATTGTGCGGAACTCATTGCTTTGGTAAGGGGTGTCCATACCTTCAT